GCATTAACGTAACTGCGTCAGTACCGCGCGATATAATATCGGCAGGATTGTCTGCAGACTTAACGAAGTTATAATTTTTTGACAAACTTGTACGCTGAATTTCCGACACCCGATTAGCCACAAAGGTTTTCCATGTGGACGGTTCTGCAGCCAACCATGACAGAGCAATCGTTGAATCAGTCCAATAGTATATTTTTGCGTTGCCTAACTGTAAAGAATTTCCTACCTGATTCATTAATTTATTTAGGAGGACAAGTCCGCAAAGCTCAAGACGTGGCAGAGAAATGGTTTTTAGAGGCGCAACGCGAGACTTTGCGCAAAGCAGCTTAACTTGAAATCCATTTTGATTACGCGATTTTACAAATATGCAGGCTCCGTAGGCCTTTTGCGAAGCGTCCGAAAACCCGTGCAACTCAATATTAGAGGGTTGAGAACAAAACGCATGACGGGGAACCTTTAAAGAATTAAGAAAAATAATGTCTTTTTCGAATTCCAAAAATGCCCTTGTTATGTTTTCAGGTACCGAGTCGTCCCAGGATAATTTTGATTTCCATAGCTCTTGGAGTAAAATTTTGGCACGGATTATTACCGGACCTACCAACCCCAAGGGATCGAAAATTTGCGAAATTTTCGATAAAATACATCGTTTCGTAATTTTTTCAGAGATATTAGTTTTACTGACCGAAAATCCCAAAATATCGTTTTTAGAATCCCATAAAATGCCGAGAGCTTTGGTACTAGACCCATCAGAAATAGCATAAAAAGGCGTGTCAGGCTGATCTGACTCGGAAATAATAGAAGGTTTATTTGACAAAAATTTTCGTAATTCAAAACCTGACTCCTTTAAGATATCAGTTATTTGAGATTTGAGTAATTTGGCCGTGTTAATATCTTCAGCGCCCCAATTGAGGTCATCCACATAAAAGCCTTTAATAATGGCCTCATAAGCTAGGGGTAATATTTCTTTATATTTCTCGGCTGATTCCCGCAAACAACGAATGGCTAAGAACGCAGAAGGAGCTAAACCGTATGTAACCGTATTTAGCGTATAATGTTCAAGCTTTTTATCAGGACTGTCGCGCCAAATTATACGCTGAAGATCGCGCTGGCTTGGATGGACGTATATCATTCTATACATTTTAGCTATATCAGCAATTAGAACCACATAGTGCTTTCTAAATCTCAAAAGTATAGAAAAAAGATCATCCTGAATAGTAGGACCGACCAATAATATGTCGTTTAACGAAAAGCCTGTCGAGGTCTTGCAACTGCCGTCAAATACCACCCTGAGTTTAGTAGTCAAACTATCAGTTTTAATAACAGGGTGATGTGGTATATAATATACATAATCACTTAAATGTATTTTGGACTCATCAATTTTTGACATATGTCCTAATTCGATGTATTCATTCATGAATTCGACATAATCATTTTTTAACCTTGGGTCGCGATAAAACTTTCGCTCAAGCGCAAAAAATCTACTAATTGCACTCTGCAAAGAGTTACCTAAACATGAAACATCTTTAGCAAGTGGCAGTTTGACGACAAACTTCCCACTATTATTTTTATGAACGTTTTCGATAAAATGTCGTTCGCAAAAATTATCATCTATAGAACTAAATTTTTTGTTTTCACATTCTTCAATTTTCCAGAATTTTTCTAATTGATTGGATATTTTATTTTCGAGTGAAAATCCGCAAAAGTTAGCAGATAGGTTTTTACTTGCGTTATCACATAGCAATTGCCCGCCAAAAATATGACCTAGCACAGTATTTTGCAAAAAGGGCTTGTTAGGTCCTAAGGATATTAATCCATCCCGCATAAGTGACCAGTACACTCCGGAACCCAAAAGCATATCGATACGACCCGACTTATTAAAGTCCGGATCAGCAAGTTTAATATTATTAGGCATTTCAAAATTAAAATTGAACGAAAGGGGGGGTATATTTCCCGTTATTTTATCTAAAATAAGAAATTCAACATTTTTGTTGTACTCATTGTGAAGTGATTTAATACAAGCATATGTCTTGTGGTGAATATTAGTAACTTTACCATTGATTCCCATTATGGGTTTATAATTATTATATGTGCTTAATTTTAATTCAGTAAAAAGATCAAGACTCAAAAAGTTGCTTTGACTTCCGGAGTCCAATAAGCATCTACATTTAATTGGATTGTTGTCAATGTCAAAAATATACAAGATAGCAGTCGACAACAATATAATTTTATTATTTTTTATAAAAGGATTTATTTTATTATTAAATGAGTGAGCTGTGAGTGAAGGTTGCTCATCATTGTTAGTTAAATGATTTGTGGCACCCGTAGATTTGGGCATATTATCAGTAGAACTAGTATTAAGTTGAGCACTTAAATAAGATTGATTTTCATTCAAACTGCTTGATTCGTTAGAATCTACCTTAGCAAAACACAATAGCGTTGAATGTAAGCGGCCGCAAAAGGCGCATTTAGAATTTGATTTGCAGTTTTTAACAGCATGATTTTCCTTTAAACATAGTACACATCTACCAAGCCTTTTTATTTCTGAAAATCTATCTTTAGGTTTATTATTTAGAAATATTTTGCACTCGGCAATAAAATGTTGTGAACCGCAAAATGGACACAAGTTGCGTTGTGTCGCGAAGTTTGTATAGCGAGAATCGGGGCGAAAATGTTTTTCGATTGACCTTACAGGTCTGTGGGTATTTAACGATTCTAAAATTTGACATCTTTCATTTAAAAATGTTTCAAATTGTTCAAATGTGGGTAGCGAACTTCCTTTTAAGGATGTTTCCCATTCTTTTTTTGTTTGAAAATCTAGCTTCGCAGACACAAGAAAAATCAAAATACAATCCCAAGTTTTAACATTGAGGCCAAGTGCCTCTAAACAACGAATATCGCGCTTTAAATTATCTAATAAATTGCGAAGAGCCAAAGCCGACTCACGATTAATAACCGATAAGTCAAAAATTGATTTTAAATGAGAGTTAACAATAACTCTCTTATTATCATAGCGCTCCTTTAAGAGTTTCCAACACAAGTCATAGTTAGATTCACTTACTTGAATATTTTGAAGTAAATGCGCAGCGTCACCGCGCAAACAAGATTTTAGATAGTACAAGCGCTGAATATTAGATAGAGACGCGTTGGAATCTATTAAAGATTGAAAAATGTCTTTAAATTCGGTAAAATTGCTGTAATCGCCATTGAATTCCATAAGTTTTAGAGTGGGGAGCTTTAAGTTAGGTTGAATATTATTGGTAGGATTACCATCATTTGGTGTGACAGAACGCGACTCAAATGTAACATTTCTACACTTAAGGGTGTCAATAATTTGATTGGCCCGCGCTACAACAGAAAAATATGCATTCTCAAAAACTTCCCTTTCTGCATCCTCAGGATTTAGCATTTCTATTTCATCTTGACATTTATTAAAATCTGACCAAAGTAAATCAATTTTTTCCAACCGCGCCGATAATTGAAATCTATTAGCATTAGGATCTTGATCAAATCCAGCAACGTACGTTTGAAGTCGAGTGAGCTGGCCCTTCATAACACCACGCTTTCTTTTTAATTCTTCCATGATTTCAAAATTAAATTATGAAAAACTACAAGTTAATATTGTACAAGACAAAAATTAAAATTATTAAAATTATTTTAATCCAGACTAAAATTATTTTAACACATTCAAATAATAAGGTTTATTCGAGAACGAGAATTTTTGTTTTTTAAATAATTAAAATTATCAAAATTGAAATTATTTTATACAAGGATAAAATTATTTTAACACATACAGAATGCGCAGTAATAATTCAAAGTTAATTTAAAAAACGAGAAATTAAAATTGTAACAATACGAGAATTATTTTATGCAAAACTAAAATTATTTTAACACATACAGAATGCGCAATAATAATTCAAAGTTAATTTAAAAAACGAGAAATTAAAATTGTAACAATACGAGAATTATTTTATGCAAAACTAAAATTATTTTAACACATACAGAATGCGCAATAATAATTCAAAGTTAATTTAAAAACGAGAAATTAAAATTGTAACAATACGAGAATTATTTTATGCAAAACTAAAATTATTTTAACACATACAGAATGCGCAATAATAATTCAAAGTTAATTTAAAAAACGAGAAATTAAAATTGTCTGAAAACAATATTTTTTATTTTTATTTTTATTTTTAATCTAATATTAGTATTTTTTGTATTTTTATTTTATTTTAATAATTAAAAACTAATTATAATTAAACTACAATATGAGAATTATTAAAAACGAAAGATTTTATTTAAAAATCTAATAATAGGTATCAAAATTTTATTCTTTATTATTTGAATAAAAATGCATCATAAATTTGCACGTGAATTTTTAAAATATTTAATTAAAAGGTATTAATAAATTCAAGGTCGAGACACTTTACGGCGAGCAAGAACAAAAAAAAAACTAAACACGTTGGCCCAGAAAGAAAACTATAAGTTGATACTTTAATAATTTTCGAGTATAAAATTTATATTTAACATTATATATGTAAGGAAGGACAAAGTAGGATAAATTGGCCGCTAAATAATTATGCATTGCTTACCATTTTACATCCCATTTCTAAGATACCGGGCGATACCAAAAACTGCCGGTTCGAATGGCGAAGATCCGGTTCGAAGACCAAATGAGGAGTCTTCGTGGTGCTCGAAGAAAAACTTACTTTCTTTAGAGTGTGGACTGTATGATGAAGATGCCCTCAAGCATTTTCACTCCATAGGGTGGTTTAGTTGAACGGGGAAAAACTGCACTGCACTTGTGTTCTTAGTTTTATTTTTATCATTCCTATCGACCGACTTATTTGACTCTCGCAACGCAATTGTTTTTCCTTCACTTCCGCGTATGTACGCACTTATTATATTGTTAATACAGGGCGTCTTATCAATTACTTAATTTGCAATTGGACACACGCATTATTTTTAACGCAAATTTTATAAATTTTTAACTGTGTACTTACAAAGATTTCGGGAGTTTTTACAGATTTTTCTCCAATAAATGTCATGAGGTCGAAATCAATTCCAGTATCCCACGTTGTAATACTTTCTTCAGCTTGAGTTATGCCTTCCCATTGTTTTTTGTAAGCTAAGTCCTTTAAAATTAAAAAAAAGTTATATTACATCCAGTACAATCAACTCTTTGAATTTGGTCCATAAAAGCTTTTATAGAGATACGAAGTAGGTTAGATTAGACAATTAAAATGAAATTTAAAAAATTGGAGAAAAAAACCTAACAACTTATTGCTGGAAATTTTGAAAAGAATAGGTTTTACATGTAAACATTAATTAACATTTTCATCTAATTTCTACACTACACGGAGACAAAAGTATAATACTGATTATCATAATTATAATACCGTTTACTTTAATTTATATTACCATTTGGGACAACTATCTTGTATATTGCTAGAACTATCTATACTAATATTATGTATCAAGTTTGATAAACGCCATTTTATACACGAATTTAATTTAGGCACGAGCGAGCTTGCGAGCGAGGTATTAAATTAATGAGTGTATAGAAAAGTTTATACACGAGGTGCATACTATACTTTTTCTACGACAAATACTTATTATTATCTTAAAATGATTTAAGTAAAAATTTGTATAGCCATCTATGAAACAATAGGGGAATCTGAGCGTCACCGTCAAATGTCAATTTTTTTTATTTTATAAACACATTATAAATCGAAATGTATCTTGAAAATTGACAGTTTTTCACAGTGAAAGTAAAGGAAATGTTTTATGAGGACTTTACAGTAGAGTCCGTGTCCGAATTTAAGTTATAGTTTACTGCCGGCGAAATTAAAAGGTCAGTACAATGTTCATATAAACTTTTCAAATATTGGCTTTGAGAAACTATTTAATATTTCTGTATTTTTGTATTGAGATAATAAAATAATTTTCACATTTAATATTATTTTACAAGAAAGGCACTTTATTTTAACGATTGTATGACATTTGACAACTGTCAACTAACTTAAAACTAACTTCAGCCCGTGACTAAAGCGCCGTAAAGCCACAACTTGTCAATGTGTATTTAAAAGGTCACTTAGTCTCATGGAAACATGTACGATAAAGGGCGTTTTAAAGGTGGGAGTAGAAAAAATATTTTAAAATCGAATATTTTTATATGCTAACAATTAAAATTGTAACATATTTATTGTACTTTTTAATATACAAAAATGTTATGAGAAAGAATTGAACCTACACCTCGCCAAAGTTTTTTGTTTTGAGTGCGTTACATCAACTTTAAATACCGACAGACAGGTGTTTTGACCTATATTGGGTATCATCAGTGCCGACACGACACTGTCGAGCAACTTGTAGTAGAGGAACACACCCAAAGCAAAGAAATACCCGAGCTTATATAACATGGTTGGTAAGCCAACAGAGGCGAGATGTAAGAACATCACGTGATCCACACCGTCTAACGACGCGTCGCGACGTGGCCTTTGCCGCAATTGGTACATACTATGCAACCAAGTAGGTTCAATTATTTCTTATAAGTATTACCAGTAATGGGTCAAGAAAGTTTATTGAAGAAACTAAGAAAATTGAATGTTTAAAATGTTATGAGTTACTATATGGTATATTATATTTAAATATATTGTTTATTTACCTTAAACATAAAAGTATCTTTATTTTTACTATATTTTTTTATTAATGTATAATATAGTAAATATTACTATTTGTAGATAATAAAATCAATTTACTATACGAACATATTAAAAATTAAAATAAATATTATACATTTATGATTTAGTAATATTGGTGTTGTAATCTTTCCTAAAATTGTATAATAAAAAATAGTATTTTGTATTACAATCTTAATATTGTATTGACGAATATATAATATTGTTACCCTAAAAAATTTTTTAAGTAAATTTTACTATATTTTTTTACTATCTCAAATGTACTATACATTTCTCTCCGTGTAGTATATTTTGAGTTACCATCACCATCTTTTGTTTTAATAATGACCGTCATAATTCATGGCGACCCATACATAGAGTGACCGGCAAAATAATGGAACAAATTCATTAAAAAATGTGCCTTTTTACATTTTTTGCAGATTCGAATAGATTATGAAATTAAAAATTCAGCAATATGTATATGTGTACCTTGTGAGATGATAGTTTTGGGTAGATAAGTGGAAGAGCAGTAGAACACTGAACTGAACTTTGCCTTTTGCAGTTATCAACATGATACAGAGAAAACATTGTTTCTTTGTATCATGGTTTATCAATGTATTTACTTGTATGTAAGTGTTAATGCAATAAAGTCATATTGTTATTATTATTATTATTATTATTATTATTATTATTATTATTATTATTATTATTATTATTATTATTATTATTATTATTATTATTAAATTAAAAGAACGTAATTTCAAAAATTTTATTTCCAAAAAAATAGGGTAAAGTAGACAGTTATCGGACAATTAACATTAATACTGTAAAAACAAGAGTTCTATAAATAGTTACCTTAAAGTCAAATCATTAGATGACGCTGTATACAATTATAACTATCTCAGTCGGTAATAATATAGAACTACTTTATTTTAAGTTCAATATAGGACAAAAAAGTTCGCACGTTACTTTGGTGGTAAGATTTTTGTTTTTTTGTTAAGAGCAGGGCTGTGTTTAAATTACAATAAAAAATATTTCTAAAAAGTGTACAGATCAGTGTGTGGTATAAATGTGTTCCTCATGGTTTAAACATTGCCACTTTAATGCGTTTTAATTTTAATTCTGAAAACAAACAGTAAAATGGCCAGTGTCCAATTACTGGTTGGTAAAAAATGTAAATTTCTATTATTGGACATATGTCCAATATTATACTCTATTTGTATCCTGTGCATTTACCAGCCAATTCTTATGTAAAATTGTCCCCTGAATCTGAAAAGACCGTCAAAAACTATAAAAGTTAAGCAGTTTGTGAGATATAGTCAATTCCATATTATATGTAAGATTGATTGTATTTCATAACCTGATCTACTTTTATAACTTTTGACAACATTATTGGATTTAACTAATAATATTTCATAGGAATTTACTGCTAAATGTCCTGGATACAAATTGCTGTTGACGAGAATATAGTGATTTCTTCGTCACAGGACATCTTGCAGAATAACAGGGATTTAAATACAGTGCATAAAAAACTAATGGCAACAAAATTAATAAATTCGGAAAATACTTTTAACATACCACCCGAGAAAATATTAGATATATATAAATTATCCTTTTCCGGCCTAAACATTATAAATGCTACACAAACTAGAGATACCACACTTAATGATATTTGCAACAAACTATTTCAGAAGTCAGACCAAGGAATTAGTAGTTACCTTCAGAATCCAGAAACGGTATGAGGAATCCGAGAAAGAAATATATGAATATATTAATTTGTGATAATTAATCTAGATCAAAATACCTTTAATTAAATATCCCATAAGTCATGGATTGTAGTAAAATGTGTTTTTATTTAAACTAATCTCCCTTTCTTTGCTCCTAAAGGGTTGTTTTTACTCTTTTCAAATTATATCAATAAAGGGTATTTATCCTAAGCTTACTGAGACCAAATATAAGATTAAAACATAATAGGTAGCTTATTAAATTTGAGGGTTATAATTTTAATGAAAAATTTTGTTTCAAAATGTTATATTTTTTTGTTGAAATCGGTTCTGAGACTCCGTTGGTTTCTTGATTAATAATTGTAGTATATTTACCTCTGGTTCATAATTATCCGACGCTTTAAGGTGTTGTTCAAGCCAGTTCCAGTTCTCATCAACAATTTTGTTCCTTTCCTCTTCTTTTAAAATACCTTCTTCCTTTAGTTTATTAAAATACATGTCAGGTACTGTACTATAATTTTAAAACATATAGTTTTGATTGTGGTGAATTGTGGTGAAAATCTTACCCTCTACTTTTAATAATGCTGTACAAAGACGGATTCGTAAATGTCGGATCATCTAATTCATTATGACCCCACTTTCTATAGCAATTAAGATCAATGTAAATTTCCTTTCTAAACTTTCTTTGGTACTCGAAAGCCAATTTCGTGGCTTTCAGGACATGCTAAAATAAAATAAATCGGTACACATGGCAAATGGTAAAATTATTTTAACTTTACCTCTGGATAATCTCCATTGACGTGTATCACAGGGGCGGAAATCATCTTGGCAAGATCAGTGCAGTACCTTGAGGAACGCCCTCTTTCGGAAGGAGTAGTAAAACCAACTTGGTTGTTAACCACCAAGTGAATTGTTCCTCCAATTTCGAAATGGGGAGTTCTGCTCAAGGTCAAACATTCTTGGTTAACTCCTTGTCCATTCACAGCTGCATCACCATGTACCTATAATTAATTATCGCTTTTTAATATTACTTATGTTTCTACTCTCTAAAAGTGAAACAGTGAAATTTTCACTATTTCCGTCAGTGAGTTATTATTCACTGTAAAATTAGTGTTTTTCAATATAAATTAGTGAAATTTTATCTTCTCCAAATTAGTGTTTTTTATTATGACTACTTTTCCGGAACTCTCGACATAAAATAGTGAAATTTTAACTTTTTTGAACTAAATCTATTTCACTAATTTGTACAGTGTAATTTCCACTAAATAAATTAGTGCAAATAAATCGCTACATGAAAAGTTAGTATTCACTAATTGCTAGTGGTATATATACTTATCACTGCGGCAAATAGTTAATATGCACTGTCAATCAGTGAAAATCCACTGTTTCATTTTTAGAGAGTAGTTAGTAATATTACTTATAATTTAAAAATTAGGTTATTTTAGAAGTTACATAACGTTATATTAACTACTAATTCTAACATTTAAAAAAGGTTATTTTTTTAGACATATTTTGGTTTAGTTTAACTATTGATATTACTTATTTGTAAATTAACCACAGCTTTGGTGTATTGATAAATTGTAAATATAAATTTTAAAATATATAATACATAAGTTCCATTCTAAATATAGATTTACTTTGATTCTCAGGAGGTTATTAACGTTTCCCCAAGAGGTAATATTGTCTATGTTCATAGTAAATTCACAATGAACATGGCATCTTAAGACCTAAATCTAAATAATTTAATTAATTAATAGTCAAGTCCCCACTTTTGTCTAAATAATGAATATGTTCTAACCTGTATGTTGAGTATCTTATCGCTCCATCCACTACAATTACCATAATCCCCATCTTTCGCCATCATTTGCTTTGCTCTAGTTTTGCCCATTGACATAGGATTAACTATTTCCAAATGAGACGGACAATACAGTAGGGATACGTGAACGGATTTCTCACCAAATTGCAAATCTGTGGAAGATACTGAAACAACAAAGTTGAATTAATTTACATAGCTTTACACTGTTAAACAATTCTATTGTAATTTTACTAAACTTGTTTAGGAAGTTTTTCCGCACCACAATATAGTAATAATAAAACTTAGTTTTGTAAATTCACTTCACGATTCATTACAACTCAATTTGGGAAAATTACAAAACGTTCGTTGAAATTCACTAAGCATTTAATAAAAATCTGTTCAGTAAAATTACTATACAGGTATTGTAATTTTACTAAAAAAATACTAAATATGTTTAATTTAAAAATAATGTATTGTAATTATACTATCCAATTTATTTCAACTCAGTTTAAGAAAATTACAAAATATATTTTACAATTTTACTGAACTGAAGAAAATTCGTTTCGCAATGTTATAACAATACAAATATTGTTATTTTGTACAACAAATTACACTAAATATATTCAGTAATTTACGCATTTTTCTTAGTTTCTTCAAGAAACTTTCTTGATCCAGTACTGTAAAGATTCAAAAAAATTACCTCGCCAGAGTTTATGTTTTAAGTGCGTTCCACCACCTTCAAATACCGACACTGTCGGTCCGACAGACAGCTATAGATAGATAGACAGCTATAGATAGATAGACCTATTTTGGGTCTTATCAATGTTGGGCAGTTTGGTGTATTGGAACACACCAAAAACGAAAGACACCTGAGCTTATATTCTGTCCACCTAAGTCAACCGAGGCGAGATGTAAGAACAGCACGTGATTGCCGCAATCGGTACATACTATTCATTTTGCGTTTGTAAATCTGAGATGCTTTTTATTAGAAACTGTCAAACTGTTTAGTAAAATTACAATGCGTGTAGGATTTATAAATATAGATTTTAAAATTACAACTTATCTTAGTAGATTTCCCAACATGTCTTGGAAGAATACTCAAATTTTATTATAATTTGCAAAACAATTGTAATTTTACAAAAATTTTAACAGTGTACATGATTAAAATGATATATAGTAAAAATGTAAACAGAAGTTGTATAAAATAAATAATGATTTGTATATTTCCAAACGCTTATTGTAATTCAAATAGCAAATTTTGGTTAGTAATTTTATTGATTACCTTAGTAAAATTAAATTCCGAATAGGTATGTATAGAAATTTTACAAAATTTCAAATTCAATTCTACAATACAGAATTGTAAAATTACTATAAGTATCTGACAAAAACAAAAACATTGTAAAATTGAAACATGTTTAGTACTTTGGCTATAACAAAATGTAAAATTACAACAAATGCGTAATAAAATTGCAATACAATACAACATTTTGTAATTTTACTATGCAACTGCTTAATGAAAATATACTAATTTTACAAACATTTTTAACAGGGCAGGCATCAAATGTATCAAGAACTTTCAAGTATGTGTTCATTTTTATTATTGTACTACCTAGATTTGGCTGAAATCAATAAAATTAAATTAATTATCTCGACTGTTTTCTTTAGGCCACCCTGTATTTATAAACGCTTAAAAAGTAATTTTCTATCTCGCTTTACTTTATAAATACTATAGGAATACTATAGGATAGGAAAGAAAATAAAATAAAATGTTTGTGCTATTACATCTGTTAAATATACCAAATTTGATTTGATGTTTAAAACATCATGTTTATGCTTCTATACATTTTACATTTGAAAAACAAAAGAAGTCTTGTTAAATTAATTTTAATACATGCATGTTTACATTTAATTATATATTTTAGTTACATATACATGCGCTTCGATAAGCTTTGTAATAATATATATTTTTGTTGTTTTTTAAATGCAAAATAACAAATTTACTGTTGTTGAAAGATTTTTTTTAGTGTCAAGTGTTTTAATATCAAATAGCATTTTACGAAAAAATGTTTAAAATAAAAATTAAATGATTCGAGGGGGAAAATCAATCAGTACTAAAATTGGTCCTCATACTCTCCCTTATAGGGGGAACAGGGGGTAACTTTAAAATTTCCAATGGGACACCCTATTTTTTTATTGCAGATTCTGATTATTCGACTAAAAATAGGTAGATTTTGTCTAAACAAAATTTTCATATTTGTAATAGATGGCGCGGTAATGAAAAAAAAAAATTTCTTCTTATACGATTCTGCATTAATTTTTCTATAAAAATACTTTTTACCTGCCAGCATTAAATACTTTAATTTAAAGGATTATTGTACTATTTTTAATAAAAATACCTCATTTAAGGTAAAAAAAAACAATATTTTGTCAATTAATTAATTTAATCCTAATTAAGGTATAAAAAATGGTATTTAGTTATAAATAATAATTATTATTGAGGTATTAATAAACTATTTATAGTTTAGCATTATTTAATCAATTTAGTTCGAAGATTAATTTGCAAACATTACGTTAAGCAGTTATTCATAATGGATTTTTTAACAGTGGAAGAAAAAATAGAAATGATGAAATTTTGATTTATGGAGAAGCAGGTAGGAATCTTGATGATGCTGTTAATATCTACGCTCAGCGTTTTCCGGATAAAATTCGATCACGTACTTCATCTCGCCGCACAGTCAAGCAGTTTACTACAAACGGGAGTGTTCAACCGAAAAAAAGAGTTCGTCGAGCTACAGTCACAGGTGGAAATAATGAAATTAGTGTATTACCAGCAACGGCCGCTAATCCTCATGCAAGCATACGAGAATTATCTAGAGATTTGGGAATATCCCATAGCAGTGTTAGCAGAATTAAAACGAAATGCTATATTTTTGTGTTACTTACTTAGATGACTTAACACATCCCCACTTCCCTGGTATTTCGCAGGAAAATCAGAATTTCCCTTAATTTTACTGAACATCCTAGCGGGTGGAAAATTAAGAAGGCATGTCAATAAATTTAGCCTGCCTCTATGTGGCATTCCTAATACTACTTGCTCGATATCATCTAAAATAAAAATAATACAATATTTTTAGCTTTAAGTACTGGTATTTATACAGTGACGGGCAAAAGTTTTTTTAAATTGTACCCAGTCTTATTTTTTTGCACAAATTCTCTGTGAACGTTTTGGATGACTTCCACTCTAATATTTGTTTTGATTTTTTAAGTTTCCTAAATTTTGTAGTCTGTTTATGTAGACCTTTGATTAAAGGTAGTCACATAAGAAATAATCGATAGAGGTGAGATCAGGAGATCTTGCTGGCCACTCTATCCACCTCTCAGGAAAACATGTGTCCAAAATTCACTTTTTGCATAATCTATTTGAATCTTCAAAAAAGATGGGGTTACAATTTAAAAAAATTGCCCATTACCTCAGAGATTCTACACTGTTCAAAATTTCATGACCATTTTAACACCAAATTAACACCATACATGGTCTATATCGATACAAACCAAAATGGTGTTAAATATGGTTCGTTGGTCCAGTGTAAATTCAAATACTAAAATGGTGTAAATTTAACTTTAACACAGTATTAAAATAAATTTTACCCGGTGTAGATTGAACTCCTTTTCAGTGTTAAATATAATGTGTTTTTGGTCAAATTAAATCATACTACACAGAAAAAAAGGAAACAGAAAGTTCCTTGACGCATTACAAGTATATTACCAGTGGTATTATTCCAGAAAATTAAACCTTCAACTCGCTAGAGATAATGTTTTTAGTGCGTTCCACCAACTTAAAATACTTCAAGTATTGACAGCTGTTTCCACCTATTTAAGGTCTCTTTAGTATCGAACAACTTGTAGTGTCACACCAAAGCAAAGGACTACCTGAGCTTATATACTCTTCATGTAAGTCAACAGAGGCGAGATTTAAGAACATCACGTGATCCACACCGCCTTTGCCGCGATCGGTACACACTATGCAACCAGGAATGCACGGCAAATTGTTTTAATCGTTTTAACAGAGTGCTTTAGATTGAAGTAACTCTTATTTTACAAACAACATATTTAGTAAACTGAACCATACAGCGGGTTGGTTTCACTAAAGTTTTCTGGGTTAATTTAACCAATTTAAAAAAAATTAAATAACTATCTGGTTTAGTACCGTCAAACTAATCTTTGTTTATATTAACCTTTCCACAGTTGATTTAAATAAATACTTATGGGTCAACTAAATTAATATAGTTAAATGAACTATTCCTTTTTTTCTGTGTAGGTGCACTTCTCAAATATTTTTAGATCAACACCGTTTTGGTGTTTGCTGTATAAAACATTTTCAACCATAATTCATGGTGTTATATTAACACCACTTGGTGTTGGATTTTGACACCATTTTAAGATTACTCTTCACACCACAGATATTTTAAACAGTGTACAAAAAAGGCAAAGTTATCTGCTATGGTGGGCAGATAACCCTGTATATTATTATATTAATACTTTTTATTTACCCAGTGCTGCAAGTCTAAATGTCTCATGAAAGAATCCCATCATACTTTCAGCACCTTCCCCTCCATATCTTTTTAAACCTGGAAATTTCTTTGCTAAAAAGTTATCAAAGTTTTGCGATAACAACAAATTAGTTGCCAGTTTTACTTTGGTTTCGCTATCTAACTCCACGTATTGAAGCTCTTCCATTTTTCTGCTAAACCATTCTCTCTCCTCTTCGCTCTATAATAAAAAAAATGAAACGTACTACTTAGGCGTTATAAAGAATAAAATTATACCTCCAAGTAAGCAAACTCAGCACTGATGTGGCCATTGTAACTTTCGTTTAAAAAATCGATCGCTTCTGCTACAGTTCCCTCAGCTTTTGTCGTGTTCAATATATTTTCAAATTTAACTATATCGCATTCGTTCAAGCCATACCGTTTGAAATCCAATTCGGGAACAGCACTGGAAATGTTCAAACGTTTCTGGTTATCTTATTCAAGAAATGCAACTCCAAAATCTTTAAATGCGATAAAATAAATCGTGTGGAAAATTCGACTTTCATATATATTTTGTTAATTAAATAGTTTAACTAACAAAATATATAACTTTAACTTAATTTTTTATAGAAAACCAGGGTTTGTGATTATTTTAACAAAGGAAAATATTTTACCGAAAGTTTTGTAAGGGTAATATGCAAGGCTAAGCATTTTGTTAATTTCAAGTATCCAAATAAAGATGCCATCACTGGTTTTCAAACTGAAATTAGTTAACTATTGGATTTGGTTTAATAAGTTTCTTTAATTTGTTGGAAACAGTAAGATATTATATTTAACCATTTGCACAATATTGTCAAGAAAAGAGTTGAAATCTGTTGTTAAAAATATTACAAAAATAAATGTTACTCTTTAGTACAATTTTTTAAATAATTCGTATAAATATAGTATAACTTTGGGTTAGAATATAAATTTTACAATATTGGACAATTTGTTCAGGTGTGAAGCATCACACCACCCAAGATAACCAATGAAATGATTTCCCGATTGAAATAAGACGCCGGCCGGTCGCTCAACTGCAATCTGCATCATCAGTTTGCAGTTTTAGTTGGTGTTGGTCTTTCCCAGAAAGATATGTAAATTTTCGACCTCGATTTTTGTAAAAAAAGGACTTTTTCAACTTCATAAAATCGCCAGTATCGAACTACTGAGCCGATACCAAAACTATACAAGAGAAAGTTGTAGAGGGCTCAATTACCTTTGTTTTAAGTGCTTGTTTGGTCAAATCGATCAATTAGAACTCGAAGTATACTCTAAAACGTCAAAACACCTCGGAAAATTAAGAAAAAAATTGAAAATTCATATCTCGAAAACGCTTCCATAAAAAAAATTTTAAGTGTGATTTTCGCGTTTAGTGAGCCAAACTACACAAGAAAATCATAGTGAGACATGGTAGGCAAAATGGATGTAAACTAGTGTAAATCAACATATTCTTTTTATTTAAGTTCCCAATTTCCAACAAATATATACACTGAGAAAACAGTTTATTTTTTATAAAGCAGTTTTATTTATATCTAATAAATGCTTTATTGCATATAGGGTTAATAAACATCCCATTTAAATGTAATAAAGCGTTTGTTTTTGTATGTTTCTTAATAAACAATATATTTATTTTTTACTACGATCTTAAAATATTAATAATTAAAATACATTTATTAAAAGTAAAAAAATTATTTATTTAAAATTTATACTATATTATAAAAATAAAACCTTTGTTAATAATAAACAAATTTAAAGCAATATAAATTGAATATTTATTTATTGTAACAGTTTTTTGTTTACACAAAACAATAAATTTATTAATAAATAACAAATTTTAAATAATAAAAAATGTTTCAATATTTATAATATATAGTTGTTCTTCTAAATACGCCCATGTTATTTGTGTTTCTTGTCTTTAAGATCGGTCATTTGATTTTGTACAAAATGACTATTCAAGTTGTTTCGTTTAAAGTGTCGATATTGCTAATTAACGTTTGGACAACACTGGTTGGCCATCCTCATTTATTCTAAACAGCAGGTCTTCTGTTGAAAAAACAACCGACGCCTCTTCTATTCTAAAATAAAAATTTGGATATAAACAAAAATATATATATATAGCGAAGATCTCTTTAACTAAGAATATCACAACAGAATGTAATCATTGCAATGATGCATTTAAAATCACATTTTAGTTGCTACTTTAGAAGTAGCAACCTGATGGTAAATATTCCGTCATAAAGCTTTTCATTTATAAAATCATTGTTAACATTTTAAAGAAGAAAAAACTGTTATAAATTACCTTTACAATTGGACACAACATCATTTAAACCGAGATCGATAAGAAAGTCCCTTAAATCCATTTTTTACAGGTACTTCACTACTTCACAATATAAAACTAAAACTGATGATGCTTACGCGAGGGCGCGAAATAAGTAAATAACGTATTTTAGGGCAAATTTTGCAAAATATATTTATTAATAAAAAAAATTATTTATTATTTTTTACTTAACACAGCTTTATTGTAAACAAAACGTGTAACATTTAATAAAGAAAATATATATTTAACACTAAACATGTATTTCTTACAATTGCATTATTTATTAATTAAAATTTTATCATTTGTTTTACGGAAGTTTGACAAAATAAATTTATTTATTAAAAAATATGATTTATTTTTAATTAATAGATATATCTATGTTTTAAATTTATTAATCCATTTGGTTTTTATAAATAAATATTTATTTCTTTTAATCAAACTCAATAAAACAATTGGCATATTTAATAAAAATATATTAATTTTGCCGTATTGAAATAATAAACAAATATTTGTTATTCAGAAACAATATTTTTTTATTATAACTGAAAACTACCAAATATATGATTTGTTTATTACAATAGTATGATTTCTCTCTTATATATAATATGAATTATTGATATAGGATTTTGTTATTAATTCTACTACTTATTCAATTAGTTAACAGATTACAGTTGGCTGTAAACTTTACATAAAGTTATGTGGACCTGGATTAACTCCAGAAAGCTGCGTTTATGATTCTGGAAAGCATGAAATATGACCAATGTTCTACAAGTTTTTGATATATAAAACATAAATAGCTTTTCCCAGAAATACTATAAATTATCTACTTTTATATCATATAAGGTACACACATGAAATTGCCGTATGTCACTGCAATATATTTCCTTTACGTGAACAATTCGTATTCAAAATTAATCAGATTTCAACATCCAGGTGACAAGCACTAAATCTTATTGAAACAGACTAATATCAATGTAAATATCTTCCCCTAAATTAAATGACAGATGAGCGGTGGTTTATTAATGTTAAATAGGGTAAACCACATAGTTATTGGACACTTAAGGAATATTATTTATTTAAAATTTATATATACCGTTGTTTTAAAGATTTTAGTTTTTTTCTTATAAATATAAAAAGGATAGTTTGTTTGTTTAAACTTTATTTACGTTTACTTAAAAACAAGAATATTTGAATTTTTAAAATTAGTTTTATAAAAACATGCAAAAAAGTATAGTAATTGGACATTTTATATAGTAATTGGACACATGGACCATAGTTATTGGACAAACAATTTTTATATAAACATAACAACTTTACATCAAATAACATAAATTGTAAAATATTTTTTAAAGATAAATTGCTGTTTGAGGTAATTTTTTTTATTTCGTTTTTGTAAATATCATATTATTTGTATATTTCTTTCTCGGATTCTTCATCCCTTTTCTGGATTTTGAAGGTAACTACTAATTCCTTAGTCTGACTTCTGAAATAGTTTGTTGCAAATATCCAGTGTGGTATCTCAAGTTTGTGAAGCATTTATAATGTTTAGGCGGGAACAGGATTATTTACATATATCTAATATTTTTTCGGGTGGTATGTTAAAAGTATTTTCCAAATTTATTAATTTTGTTGCCATTAGTTTTGTATGTTCTCTATCATGCACTGTATTTAAATCACTGTTATTCTGCAAGATGTCCTGTGACGAAGAAATCACTATATTACTTACTTTCTAAAAATTAATTAGTCAAAAATGTCATAGTTAAAAGGCAGCCACTAATAATTCTCGTCAACAGCCATTTGTATCCAGGACATTTAGCAGTCAATTCCTATGAAATATTATTCGCTGAATCCGAAAATGTCGTCAAGTTATAAAAGTAGAACAGTTTTTGAAATATAATCAATTTTACATATAATATGGAATTGACTATATCTCAAAAACTGCTTAACTTTTATAGTTTTCGACGGTCTTTTCGGATTCAGGGGACAATTTTACATAAGAATTGGCTGGTAAATGTCCGGGATACAAATAGAGTATGATATTGGACATAAGTCCAATAATAGAAATTTACATTTTTACCAACCAGTAATTGGACACTGACCATTTTACTGATTGTTTTCAGAATTAAAATTAAAATGCATTAAAGTGACAATGTTTAAACCATGAGGAACACATTTATGCCACACACTGATCAGTACACTTTTTAGAAATATTTTTTATTGTAATTTAAACAGAGCCCTGCTCTTGACAAAAAAAAACAAAAATCTTACCACCAAAGTAACGTGCGAACTTTTTTGTCCCATATTGGACCCAAAATAAAGTAGTTCTATATTATTACCGACTGAGATAGATATAACTGTATACAGCGTCATCTAATGATTTGACTTTAAGGTAACTATTTATAGAACTCTTGTTTTTACAGTATTAATGTTAATTGTCCAATAACTATAAAGTGTCCGATAACTGTCTACTTACAGATCAAAAATGGCATATAATCTTTAAAATGATGTAATGGTTTGTAACTCAAAAGTTATTAAGGGGGCTACTGTTTTATTGAAAGCCGTGTTATGGGGATAAAATTTGATAGTATTTACTTTATTTTTCGTTAGAAATTTGAATAATGCGAAAAATGCGGCTTACCTCAAGCTCTTTGCCAAGGAAACGGGATTTACATCGGCCGACTTGTGCGCGTGTTCTTTATAAGCTGACACAAGTCTGTAAAAGTTACTTTGTTCCTTACGGGAGTTCAAAACTTCCTCAGGTACTGAAAAATACGGAAACATTATAAGTTTATAAGTATACTGATGCAAGTATTTGAAACAATTTATTTATGGAAAATTTTATTTTAATTATTTTAAAAGGACGACTATGGAACGCCGTTTAACATTCTCTGAAATAAATATTTTATTTCAGTTTTAGGTTTTTATTTTACTTTATATTTTGCAACGACTAATATTTATGTCAATTTAAATGCTTGACAATTGAAATATTTAAAACAATACATACTATTTTCTTTAAGTATAATTAGAAACAATCGCAGAATGAAATACATGAATGTGTAATTTGATGTTTTAATGTTGCATTACCATAGAACTTAACAATTATTATTACAACAATGCACATTTTTATACTTTTAATAATTATATTGCGGCATTTAGATTATTTACAACTGCAATAAATAACAATATGCGAATATAACATTATTGAATTTTAACAACATACGTATATTTTTATTTATTATTGCAATACTCAGTATATTGTACAAAATATTTTCTATACTTTATTTTTGCAATAGTTTTAAATTTTAAAAACATGCATGTAAATATTATTAATTTTCAATAATATGTACAAAATTATAATTGGCGTGAATTGCAGAAATTAATTTTTGCAATTGTCATGTATTTTAGCAATGTATTTTTGCAATTGTCGCCTATTGTAAGAATGAATTTTTGCGATTGTCGTATATTAAAATTAAATTATTGCCTGTTGCAGTACTTCATTTTATCAATAATTACAATACAGAAGAATTAAATTATTTAATTCTCGTGTATTGTAAAAATGGTGGTAGAACTGTTGCGTTAAATAAAATCCCTAAAAATTCCCCAACCGAAACCTTCAATTAGACAACCAGGATGACACCTGGGAAGATACATATTTTTTATGAATTTAAATCAAATAAAGTTTATTTTTTATTACATGTAAAATATAATTAGTTAATAGAAATTAATTAATAACTCTCTAAATAAAATCTGTTTGTGTACATGTATTTAACTAAAAATAGACTTTTTTAATTTAAATTCATAGAAAATATGTATCATCCCAGGTATAATCTTGGTTGTCTAATTAAAGGTATCGGTTGGGGAATTTTTAGGGATTTTATTTAACGCAACAGTTCTACCACAATTTTTACAATACACGACAATTAAATTGTAGAAATGAATAACTGCAACAGGCAATAATTAAATTTTAATACACGACAATTGCAAAAATTCAATTCTACAACCCAGACAGCATCCAATTCAGAAAGATTTCTGTACGAAGTCTGTTAAAAAACATCTTACCGAGGTCACAATATGACATCTTAGAGAAATCATTTTTAGGAGCTCAAGATTAAGAGTTCTTAATGAATTCATAAATGAGAAGTCAATTTTTTAACATCTTAAAGTATCTTTTTTTCTGACCTCTTATTCCCAGAGAGCCATATCAGGTTAAAACATGGCCAAGAATTGCCCATTACCTTTGGAAAAGTTTTGCCAATAAATGTACTATGTAGGACTGTATATTCCTATGGTATTTGTGCAATCGCGATGGCCAACAATAAATGACCAAATTGTGCCCAATAATATGCCAAAGCAGTTTGGATAAATTAGGTAGGTTACCGTTGGTTTAATTTTGGGAATGTTTGGGCATGGAAAAACGATGACAAATTTTTGATGTTTATTTGGGCAATTAGGCTTTTGAAAAATTGACCAAATATTGGTAAATATTTGGACAAATCCAAAGTATTAACAAATATTATTATTATATTTGAAAATTGGGTAAATAAAAAATTTTGTATTTATATTTTTTAATAATAAAAAAATAAAACAGTATGTTTCAATACTGGAACAGTGGTCAAAAATAAAATTAAAATAAAACAAATGTATAAATAAAAAATATTTAAAATAATCAAAATTGGAAAAAAATATTGTTTTTTTATGTTGAATCCCAAGCAGTGATTTAATTGTTTTTTTTGCAATAAGGCTTTTTTTTATTTCGGACCCGTTGCTTCGCGTTGTTTAAGGCCACGTCAAAGGACCTCTGGAATTCTAAAGCCCCTGGAGGAGGAAATTTATCATGTTCATGTAAACTCTCTAAAAAATACTTTAAGTAACAAAATTGTCTAGGAAATAATATTAAAATATAAAACATACGGTGAATGGCTTGTACGATTTTTGTTTTGGACACCCCAACACCAGCACGTCCAGTGCGCGTTATTTTGGAAGAAACTTCATCTGAGAAGGCTTCTTTGACAATTAAATTCACGCTGCCTACGACGTCATCGTCAGCGACAAATTTAAAGTAGCTAACCTATAACATAACAATATAAAAACACAAGTCTTAAAACGTATTTTGGAAGTGAAAACCATTTTTTGATACATGTTTACAAAAAAGTGTTATTTTTCTATGAAGAATGCACTGTTTAAGTTTGGCCCCCTAATTTCAGGACACCCTGTATACCTATCTATAGATTTCTTTAAGTGCAGATGTATTCTTGGTTGAGTTTTTCTTGTTTGACGGGTCAACACAAATTGTGTTACACAATTTTTTAAATTAAATGACCTATGTTACGTTTCATTACATTTGTAACGGGTGGTTTTTTGGGTTAATTAACGCGGGGAGCGGGGCTGATATAGACTACTATCAGTCCGTTACAAGGATGTTACCACTAATCTGACCTTTATTCCAGCGACGGTTGCCGATGATTTGGTAATCCCAATAAGCATGAATCACCACACTAAGTCACTCGCGACGGATCTCACTTCGCGAATCACGATATACTTACGTTTGCCAAGCACTGGGTAATTAGAATTAACAGGTACCCAAAGAAACAAAGCAGATTCTAACCACAAACAATATATTTACAATTAAGAAGAAGAATAAAAATTAACAAAGAAAATAAGAAAAATTAATAATTTAACGGTAAAGAAAATTAACAAAGAATTTACGGAGAAATTAAGATTAAAAAACTAACTTTTGAATTAAACTGATAAGCGAACTAAATTAACTTTAGAAAAAGGTAACCTAAATGAATCTTATAAAACTAATACTTTAAACTACAAATTTTAAACTAAACCGGTCACTTAAGGTGAACGTAACTGCGAGCACCTGTATAAGCAATTTTACAATAAACTTAACAATATACCTGACTTTATTAATTACACTGACTGGCTAGAACTTCGACCTTCGAACTCGGAAACGACGCGCGCGAAATCTTGCAAGATAAAATCTGTCAAACCCTGTGGTACAGAGTATTTAAAGACTTTCTTAAGTCGAGGGCGTGACTTGCCTCAGGGTTGAAGTTTCTGGCCAATCAGAGGCGTGCAGTGAGAAATTTCTACCCCTACTTAACGCTGACTTTAGGGTGAATTCGGGGTTGCCTAACTACAAAGTTACTTATTTTCTATAAAAATTTAAATCTGTTAACAAAGTCCAAAACATTAAAATATCCTATGTCTGCAATTACTAACTACCCTTTTACTTCAACCTAAGTTATACAATTAGACAATTTTCTCGGGTTACATTAAATTCTTAAAACCTATCGGTAAAACTACTATACGGCTGGTTATATCCTTATCTTAGTCCTAATTCTTTAATCTAAATGATTATTAACTAAATAAATTTGTTATTATTCTTTTAACTACTTTCTCTATTATTTAATTTTCCAACGATCGATTTAAACAAAGGGAAGCGTTTTCAATTGAGCGTTAAGGCTTTTTCCAAGAAAAACATCATCTGGCTACTTTTTAGTGCGCGTTTCGGGGACAAAGAAACTTTCTATCTATTTATTTATTACTTCCAAAACATGCTCCTAGGCCCCCCCAAGTGACATCTGGCTCTCTTAAAAATCCTTCTAAGTATTAAATTTCTTAATTCTTCAAAACAACCATTTCTTTGAAATTTAGTGAAACTTCAGATTTTTACCCTATTACATCACTCCCCCCTTTTTAAACGAATCAATAAAAAAAAATTGCAAAATAACAAATTGATTCGTTAAAAAACCAAGCAACTTAAACTAAAACTAACAAACTAAATATAAGGTGTACAATCCTCTTAAATCTATACTAATTAGTCTTTCCCTAGTCCATGATTTCACTCAGGCTTGGTCTGTTCTTTAACTCTCACTATGTTTGTGTCACTGTATCACGCACCAAACACTTCACTTGTTCGTCTCTGCACTTTCTAGGTTGGTTTAGTTTTTCTCCAACGTTGCTCCTTGTACTTGTAGGTGTTGGCGCTGATGATTGGATTGCTACCGGGGTTGTTGCTGCTATTTCCTGCATCTGCTATGCTGCTGGTGTATTCTTCAAGGTTCTTTAGTCATTGTAACGTTTGACATATAGAATGATTTTGTGGCTAATCATCTTAAATCGTTCTAACTGCTGGGTTCGTCATAACTTTTCTTTCTTCTAGGCTATTGGCTTCTTTTTCTTTCTTTTTGAACTTCTTTGCGTCCCTTTGCAATATTGTTGTTCCTGAGGTGCGGTCGTCTTCTTCGTTTACATCTTGGCATGGTACGTCTGGGATGCTGTGATAGGCTGGAACAGGCCGCTTTGGTCCAATTGGATTCTTTGGACGGTCTGATTGGACTTTTGATTGTGTGCGATTCTCCTTGGATGCATATTTGTTGGCTCGTTGTTATTTCCGCCTTCTTCTTTTGATTACCCCCGTGGTGGACATTTCTAAAACATTTCGAAAACTAAATGAGGATCTAAAATATTTTGGTTTAACGATATTTATTTTCTTCTCTTATACATCCATGGCTGTGTTTCGGCCTTTCCTCTGCTACGCAGAACCATGGGATGTAACTCGGTCGGCTTTTCTTTCCTGGTTGGTGTAGAGGACCTCACGTTGGCTGTTGAATTTGTTGCTGTCTCCGTATTTGTTGGGTTTACTTGCTGATCGAAAGCTACAGGGGGATCTTTACTGAAAACTAGATTTGGATTATTATCAATGTTCCTGAAAGAAAAATTATTATCCCTTGCTGAAGAATTAATTTCTTGA